CTAGTGTTTAGTTTTATTTCGTATTTTTCTAGTATTATTTTGTATTTTTCTAATATTTAGTTTTATTTTGTATTTTTCTAATATTTAGTTTCATTTCGTATTTTTCTAGTATTATTTCGTATTTTTCTAGTATTTAGTTTTATTTCGTATTTTTCTAGTATTATTTTGTATTTTTCTAGTGTTTAGTTTTATTTCGTATTTTTCTAGTATTATTTTGTATTTTTCTAATATTTAGTTTTATTTTGTATTTTTCTAATATTGAGTTTCATTTCGTATTTTTTCTAGTATTTATTTTTATTTCGTATTTTTCTAATATTTAGTTTCATTTTGTATTTTTTCTAGCGTTTAGTTTTATTTCGTATTTTTCTAGTATTTAATTTTATTTCGTACTTATTACAAAGAAACGTTTGCTTTCTGTTCATTTAAATTCGTAAATTACTTGTGCCATTCTCCTTTTGTTTGATTGTACGAAAAAGCAAAAATGTATGTATTATTTTTCTTTTCAAGCAAAATAGACGCATTAAAGTACAGTGATAACTGTATTTGTGAAATTTGTTGTTTCCAAGAATTCTTCAATTAACTCTCTGCTCTGTAACATCGTGTAACTTGAAAGTTACGCAGCAGTATGATAACATTCTTTGCTCGCAGCTTCGCTATTGTGTTTCCTGAATTTATCGTTAAAAAATACCAAACAATTTGTTTGTAATAATTATTAACTCCCACATTTGAAATTGGAGCGAACAACTGTAATTAAACAGTATTTTCCTTTTTTTAAAGTTAAACGAAATTCTGATTACAGAGAGATAAATATAATATTAGAGTATAAAAAATATAAGTTTTTTAGCAGAAAAAGAATGGACGGAATTAAATGTTAGATATTTTAAAATTAAAAATTAGGTAAAAATTTAAAAAGAAGGAATTAAAAATTAGATACTTTATCCACTTTGCTCTTCTAGTAAAGAAGAGCATATTGAGTATTATAATTTACAATATTTTTTAAACTGTCATCTTGCAATGAATGAAAGTGATAATTCGTTCGCAAAAGAAAACTGATACCAGAATTTTCAAAGCAGAGTCAGAATTATTTCTCTCGTTTTAACTGACGCAGCAAAATCTTTCAAATGAATTCCTCGAATTTATAAAACGTCGTGCAAATTTCCCAATATATTAAACTCGTCCCCTCCCCCCCATAATTTAATCATCGAATCATTATTAATTTATTCGACGGATAAATGATCCTTCTCAGAAGGTTGTTCCTAGTTATCAATGCTAATTATATTTACTGTGATACTTTGCCGAATCGTTATTTAAAAAGATATATGTATAAATATAATACACACACACACACACACGATTATCTCGGGATTGCCTTCGATTCATCGTGTACCGTTTAGCGTGACAGCGACATTGAGAGATCGAGAAACGACGACCGGTAGTAGGCCCATCAGATCGTACGGCGAATTAAATCTCGATAAATTCGAACGTGTGAAAGTATGGGAACGAGCGTGTCGACGAGGAATCAACGGCGTGCCCGATCTAACCGATCCGTTCATTAGCATTTTAAGCTCTCTCGTTACGTCGTCGTCGTGTTGTCTCGATTCCGAGTGATACACGTTACATTTCTCGCTGCATGCGAGCAACTCCATACCAAAATTAACGCCATCGTCAATTCTTTTTTAATTCCACGAGTCCTTTTTCGAGTCGATCTTTTTCTTAGTTTCTTTTTTATTCTACAAATCCATTTCCACGGTTTTCTTTTTTCTAGTGGGTTTGAAAACTCGTGCCATCGTATTGATTCACTCCGTCTTCAAACGCTTTCGATAATAAATAATTTTGAAACCGAAATATATGTGAAAAATATTAATAAAATATTAATTTCACCTTCCCTCTGTGTGTATGTGTGTGTGCAACGAATTATCATTTAGAAACACGTTCAAAATCGGTGTATAAAAATTTCTAATTCATCTCCAAATATTTGGAAATTTTAACAAGCTCAAGTCCGCGATAAATCAAGCGAGTCGAAATCGAATTTTCTAAATAGTGGGAACGGTGGAAGATTTATTCGATTTCTCGCGCTTTGAAACACAGCTATCACTCATCTGACGCAATTTCAAACTAGAATCCTGTTCACGATTGGGACCGAATCTAATCTAATTTAACCGCGATCATCGAACCGAACGAAATCCTCGAGTAGGCATTATATAATCCGTCGGTCAGTATTAAGGAGAAGAAAAAATAAAACGAGAAAGAATCGTGCCATCCGTCATCACGACCTTCATTTCGACATCTTCACGGGCAACTTGCGAGACGCGGTTAATCATGGCACACGAGAAACTATCATCTGCCGACAAGCTGAAACTCCCAGCCTCCTACTGACCCCATTGCGTAATTTACATCCCATATACAACGTTTTCGTGGCGCGATGAACCGGCCACGATTTCCAGAAACCGTGAAACTCACGCGGAGCAAGCTCACGTGAAATTCCGTGAAATCCTTTCTCAAACCACGAATCGATAAGGTACGAATTTATGCGAACCGGGAGTAACGTGTGAACGATCGGAACAACGCGGTTGGATATATATTTATGGCACTGGAACGCCACAGTCTGTGTCTTTCCAGCCAGTGCGTGGCAATTTTCGAAATGATTTTTACTGGAATGTTTCATATTTGACAACTGAATATTACCGATCGTCGGTAATTTTGGATGATCAAACGTTTTTACGTTCGAGTTACCCTCGAAGTATCAGGATTTTGAA